GGGATCCATTTTGCAGTATTTATTAAGTCACACTTAAACATCAACACCTTGCACGGCTGTGCGAACATACAACATACAACTCAACGATGATTAGCAGATAACAGAGGCAGAGTGATTACCAGGCTTGAGTCAAGGGCAGGCAGCGTGGTTCAGAGTCCGTAATACAGGCTTTAGTCAGGGGCAGGCAGCGAGAATCAGAGTCCGTGTAATCAGGCTTTAGGTCAAGGGCAGGCAGAAGACAGAGCAGAGTCGAGGAACGGGCTGAAGTGGTAAACGGGAGATCAGGCAGGATAGAACGCTCAGAAATGCTGGCCGGGGCTAAACAAGACTTCGCAAAGGAGTGTGTGAGCTGCTTATATGTGGTACGTGGGTCATTGGTGAGATAGAGAACAGGTGTGCTGGGATCTGAGTGAGAAGGATGACGTAATGGTTAGAAGTCCGGAGATGGTGACCTCTGCTGGTCAGCGAGGGGAATGACTGGGACCGAGTCGGTGACAGAGCCCCCCCCCAACGAACGGCTCTTGAAGTGAGGCAATTCTCGACGCCGGGGTCTTCCACGGGGGCGAGGGGCCGGCATCTCCGGATGTTGTGAGTGGAACTCTTCCAGTAGTGTAGTGTCGAGGATGTCCTTGCGGTTAATCCAAGATCTCTCCTCCGGGCCGTACCCCTCCCAATCAACGAGGTATTGGAGTTGTCCGCCCCGGCGTCTGGATTTCAGGATCTCGTGGATCTGGTAGGCCTCTTCACCATCAATCATAAGAGGCGGGGGACCCTGTTCACCGGCTGCCACCTCCCTATCCGTCTCGGCTGGACCAGCAGCAGGCTTGAGCAGAGAGACATGGAAAGTGGGGGAAATACGAAAATGATTAGGGAGTGTCAGTCTGAACGAAACAGGAGATATTTGTCTTTCTATCTGGAAAGGACCCACGTACCTGGGACTGAGTTTCTTGCAGGGCAGCTTGAGGCGTAAGTCGCGGGTGGAAAGCCATACCCATTGTCCTGGGGAATACATGGGACCAGGACGTCGGTGTCGATCGGCTTGTTCCTTGAAACGCCTTATGGCGTGAGAGAGGTGAGTATGAGCTGCGTTCCAGACCTCTTCGCAGTTTTTAAACCAGGTATCCACCGCAGGGAGTTCAGAGGTCTCACCGGACCAGGGAAAGAGCGGAGGTTGGAAGCCCAGCACGCATTGAAATGGGGTTAATCCTGTAGATGCCTTTCTGAGGGAGTTCTGAGCATATTCTGCCCACATCAAAAATTTGGCCCATTCGTTCTGGTTCGAATGACAATACGTGCGGAGGAATCTGCCGATTTCTTGGTTCAAGCGCTCTGTTTGCCCGTTGGATTGGGGATGATAGCCGGATGTTAGGCTAACGTTGATTTGGAGATTTTTAAAGAATGCTGACCAGAGTCGGGATGTAAACTGGGGTCCTCTATCCGACACGATGTCTTCGGGGAGACCATAGTACCGAAACACACACTCGCAGAGTAATTCGGCCGTTTCCATGGCTGTGGGCAGTTTGGAAATGGGGATAAGGCGACAGGATTTTGAAAACCGGTCCACTACGGTGAGGATGGTGGTTTTGCCCTGAGATATGGGTAAATCGGTGATGAAATCTATAGCGATGTGTGACCAGGGGCGATGTGGCACCTCCAGGGGTTGGAGTAATCCAGCTGGACGGTGACGGGAGTGTTTGGACATCTGACAGGGTGAGCATTTGTTAATGAAGTTGATTACATCCTTGTGTATGGATGACCACCAGTAGCGGGATTGAATCATTTGCACAGTGGCTGTGCTGCCTGGGTGACCGGAACTGGGGTGGTCATGTACCTCGGAGATGAGTCTTTCTCGAAGCGACGGGGGAACAAAGATTTTATTCTCTGGACAGGGCTGCTGAGAAGGATTATTTTCGGCGGCTTGGAGGATCTCCTGATCTATATCCCACTGGATGGGAGCGACAATTAGAGGACTTTTGATTATGGGCTCGTCAGGGATTTCAGAGGTCTCATCGTCTGAGAGGCGGGACAGAGCATCTGCTTTGATGTTTTTCGAACCAGGGATATAGGTGACTTGGAAGTCAAATCGGGTGAAAAACAGCGCCCATCTTGCCTGTCTAGGATTCAGACGTTTACAAGACCGAATGTATTCTAGGTTCTTGTGATCAGTGATGACGATGAAAGGGTGTTTTGCGCCCTCAAGCCAGTGTCTCCATTCCTCTAGTGCAGCTTTCATGGCGAGGAGTTCTCGGTTTCCCACATCGTAGTTCCGTTCAGCGGAGTTAAGCTTGCGAGAATAGAATGCACAGGGATGGAGCTTCTTATTCACTAGGGATCGTTGGGACAGGATGGCTCCAATTCCAGTGTTGGACGCGTCAATTTCGACTACAAAGGGTTGTTCGGGATCAGGATGACGCAGAATGGGTGCACTGGAGAAGCGAGTCTTTAGCACTTGGAGCTTTTTGCATACAGCTGGTTTTTAATGAGACGTTTGAGCACTGCCCGAACGTGCTGGATATGCTCGGATAGCGAATTGGAATAGACCAGGATGTCGCCAATATATACTATGACCCTTTTGTTGAGCATGTCTCTAAATATCTCATTTACAAATGCCTGGAACACGGAAGGACTGTTTGCTAGGCCGAAGGGCATAACGAGATATTCATAGTGGCCGTCAATTGTAGAGAACCCGGTTTTCCACTCGTCTCCCTGTCGTATGTGGATGAGGTTATAGGCACTACGGAGGTCCAACTTAGTGAAATACTGGGCGGATCGGAGTTGTTCAAGGGCGGCAGGAACCAATGGTAATGGGTAGCGGTATTTGACTGTGATCTCATTCAAGCCTCGGTAATCAATGCAAGGGCGTAAGCTGCCATCCTTCTTCTTAACGAAGAAAAACCCTGCTGAAGCGGGAGAAGTAGATGGTCGAATGAATCCTTTCTCTAGCTCCTCAGAGATGTACTTCTTCATAGCCTCAGTTTCAGGTTGTGAGAGAGGGAAGATGCGACCACGAGGGGGCGTGGTGCCGGGTAGCAGCTCAATGGCACAGTCATTATCACGATGAGGAGGGAGCTTAGTAGCCTTCTGCTTATTGAATGCTTCAGTTAGATCGTGATACGCATCAGGAACATGCTGGAGTTCAGAGTCTTCGGTCTTGTTAATTGTGTTGATCTGGATAGGGGAAACAGGATGCAGACATTGGGTAAAGCATTGATTGCTCCATTTTATGATCTCACCAGTTCTCCAAGAGACTTGAGGGTCATGCTGTTGTAGCCATGGTAACCCAAGAATCACAGAGTGTTTATGGGAGTTGATGGCAAGAAGGGAAATTTCTTCTTCATGGAGAGAGCCTGTTTGAAGCAAGATTGGCAGGGTCTGGAATTTTATACGTCCTTCTCCCAAAGGGCGCCCATCTACAGCAGTGATGGCTATGGAGGAATCACAGGAGGTTAAAGGAATGGAGTGAGTGGTGGCAAACGTGTAATCAATAAAGTTACCAGCGGCTCCTGAATCGATCATGGCCATAGTCTCAATCTCATCTCCATCGTTTCTCAAAGTGACAGGTAGATTCACAACATTATTAGTGGTAGTGAACATAGTGGTTGCACTCACCGAGAGGGTTCTAGGGAGAGGCTTGTTGGGACATAAAACCTTCGTATGACCTGGAAGTCCGCAGTAAATGCACAGGTGATTTTTTCTCTGTCGTTCTCGCTCTTCTGGGTTCAGACGGGTTCTACCCAATTGCATGGGTTCAGCGGAGGTTTCAGGGGATACAGGACTGGAAGCAATTGAGCAGAGCGGATTGCGAGTGCGGAGGAGAGTGTCTAACCTTATGGAAAGCTCGATTAGTTGATCCAGAGTTTTCCCATCGTCACGACATGCCATCTCTCGCTGCAATTCTGGCTTTAGAGCCCTTCTGTAGAGCGTGACAAGCGGATCGTCAGCCCAGCCAGTTTGCGCTGCCAAGGTGCGGAACTGCAGGGCGAACTCAGCTGCGGAGCGATCTCCCTGTTGGATACACAATAGCTCCTCGCCAGCGTTACGACCACCCTCCGGATGATCGAACACAGTGCAGAAACGTTTGAGAAAGTCATTAAACGAGGGAAATATCGGGGTACTGTCTGGCCAAACTGCAGTAGCCCAGTCTAGCGCTTTCCCAGTGAGCAGTGAGCACACAAAAGCAATTTTCCCGTTCTCGTCCTTAAACAGATGGGGTTGTTGGGCGATAAACAGTTTGCATTGCAATAGAAAGCCTTTACATTTTGCTGGGTTACCTGAGAACTTGTCAGGAAAAGCCAATCGAACTCCGGAAGTCATCGGGGGTTGTGCAACAACAAGTGGACTTGGAGGGTAGTTGGCGGTGGGTTGCGCAGTGGCAGCAGCTTGCAGGTTTTGGAGGGATTTCACCAGTTCATCTGTTAACTGAGTTAGGTGTGTTAGTTGTTGTTGGTGTGTTGACAATACCTGAGCTTGTGTGGTGACTTCGTGAGACAAAACCTGGATGGCTGCGGGATCCGTGTTGGGCGAAGTCTTCTGTAACGAGGAGACTGACACGGAGGGATCCATTTTGCAGTATTTATTAAGTCACACTTAAACATCAACACCTCGCACGGCTGTGCGAACATACAACATACAACTCAACGATGATTAGCAGATAACAGAGGCAGAGTGATTACCAGGCTTGAGTCAAGGGCAGGCAGCGTGGTTCAGAGTCCGTAATACAGGCTTTAGTCAGGGGCAGGCAGCGAGAATCAGAGTCCATGTAATCAGGCTTTAGGTCAAGGGCAGGCAGAAGACAGAGCAGAGTCGAGGAACGGGCTGAAGTGGTAAACGGGAGATCAGGCAGGATAGAACGCTCAGAAATGCTGGCCGGGGCTAAACAAGACTTCGCAAAGGAGTGTGTGTGTGAGCTGCTTATATGTGGTACGTGGGTCATTGGTGAGATAGAGAACAGGTGTGCTGGGATCTGAGTGAGAAGGATGATGTAATGGTTAGAAGTCCGGAGATGGTGACCTCTGCTGGTCAGCGAGGGGAATGACTGGGACCGAGTCGGTGACAGGAATATTACAGTAATTGTAACCCTAACTTTACATTACAGCAAAGATGAATATTCTTCAGTGTATATGAGATAAACAGTGTATAAGAAAACCAATGCATTACAAGAGATATATAGCAAATCTACTGGAATAAAATAATCCCTAAAGCCCAACCGCATGCAACATACTTGATTTCTGTTTTTTTGCTTATTACATGATATATTTATATAATTTCTGTAAACTCTGCCCACATCTCTATCACTACTAACCACTGTAGGCATTTAGTTCCCCTTTAAACCCTTTGATGTCCTCCAAGACTTTGCAGAGCTCTTTGTGTGTTTTCCTCATCTGAGCAATTGACTTCAGCACACTGGATGAGACCTTTTCCGGATCATCTGTTCTCCAGTTCTGTCTCATCTCATGAATCTCTTTGGCATCTTTCACTATAAAGGTGACATCAACGACAACTAATATTCCACTCAATACGGCTGACGCTGCAGCTACTGCTCGTCCTATTTTCGAAGCCTGAAGAGCAATCCTGCCCACATTTGCCAGCATAGCCAGACTCACTGCTCCAGTGGCACAATCTGCTGCACCTTTGCCGATCTCCCATGCTGTTTGCAGGTTACTAGAATGTGAGTTCCTTTCAAAAATAGAGAATTTATATACTTTCCCCAGCACCCCTCTCAGTTTATTCAGAGTATTGAGGATTGGTTCACTTGATTTTTTATACTTCTTCTCAATTTGTTCAAAATTCTCGCGATATGATTTTTGCTTTACTGAGTCTGTAATGTTGGAGGCAGCACCTGTTATTCCACCTGCAGCTCCAACTCCAGCACCCACAGCTGATACAATCAGAGATGCTCCAAATGTGACAGGTGCCAAAGCTACACCAGCCAGTGCAGTGATTCCTCCTGCTGTCCCAATCACTGCTCCTGACAGACTGCCTGCTGTGGCACTATAATGCATATCCTCTAGTGAATCTGTTGTTTCCCCCCACTCTTTAACTAAAACCTCAAAATCTTTATAGTTATCATTATAGGCCTCAACAAAAGCATTGATGGACTTCTTTAAGCTTTGTTCCAACCCTTCTGGAATTCTCTTAAATCTCTTTACTGCCTCTCTGAGGAATGGTCTTCTGAGGATCTCCTCAGCTGAAGGTCTGTCTTTAGGGTCACAGCTGAGCATTTGGCTGATCAGTTCTCGTAATTCCTTTGAGTAACTCTCTGAGATGTGGGGAATAGTTCCTTTCATACTGAGGGCATGGTTTAAGCGACGTGTCTTGATATCTTCCTGTAGAGGAAAATAAAACAAAATTATTATTATGTTGGCTAATTATTAAGTGATTATTATTATCTCCACCTCACACAATTCATTAAATGCATGTATTGCAGTTCAGGATTGTGAATGCAGTGATTGTGCTGTGGGTGATTTTATATATATATATATATATATATTAGGGATGTGCGGAGCAGCCGGTATTTGTATTTGTATTTGTATTTGTTGAGGGGGGAAAAGTATTTGTATTTGTATTTGTATTTGTATTCGAGTAAAATTCAAAATGGCGCAAAAATAAATATTTTTTCTATAACACTTCTAATTTACATTATAGTGAAAGTATTGTTTAATTATACCCATTATATAAATTATAGATATGCAATATTGGCTGTTGTTTTTGAACATGTGACAAGAAATGTCATTGAAAAGAAAATAATATAGAAGCCATTATCTCATCCATGGTTAAACCAACAACTAATAAAATACCATTGTGAATATTATGAACCCCACCACCACCGTTCTTGTTGAAGGACACTGAATAGACAGAATAAAAACAAATAATACTTCAAAAAACTGTTCTTCTTCTGAAAGAACTTCTTTCCAATGCACAGAATTCCAAAAACTAAAATTAGCTAAATAAATCTAAATAAAACCCTGCCTGGGGGATCTGGCAGAACAAAAGTATTCTATATAATACTAAAAGATACAGCCCTGCTATTATCATCTGCCTGCCACAAAACAGACACAAAGTATGTTTGTTTTTTATGTTTGAAACTGACTTGCTGGGGCAGAATATGGCTGTGTTGATGGTTTGGTGCTTGTGGAGGATTTAGCAGAACATAGCTGTGCTGATTGAGGGGATTGATGCTTGTGGGGGTTCACAGACAGTATCAGGAGAGGATGCTTTTAGTGCATGTGACAATACATTACATAGAAGGTTGCGCAGTGGCACAGTGAGTACCACTGTCGCCTCACAGCAAGAAGGTTGCTGGTTCGAGCCATGACTGGGTTCTCCCCATGTTGGCGTGGGTTTCCTCCGGGTGCTCCGGTTTCCCCCACAGTCCAAACACATGCAATACAGGTGAATTGGGTAAGCTAAATTGTCCCTATTGTGTGTGTGTGAAAGAGAGTGTATGGATGTTTCCCAGTGCTGGGTAGCAGCTGGAAGGGCAGCCACTGCGTAAAACATATGCTGGATAAATTGGTGGTTCATTCCACTGTGGCAACCCCAGATTGATAAAGGGACTTAGCCGAAAAGAAATGAATGATTATGCATAGGAGATGTTGACAGATGTTTAATATCTCTGCCGATTTCACTTTTGCACACATTATAACGTTACAGTATCAGTTTGTTTTATCTGCAGCACCACTGACTGTACAATTCTTCCACAAAGAACATGTTTTTTTTTTGTTTTTTTTTGACTGGTGGAGGACCAAGAAATGGCTCAGAAGCAGTCTCACTCTTTTTCTATTCGGGTGCCCAAATGTATTTGAGGAGTTTCAAGTTAATAAAAAGTGACGGGAAGCTATGCTAAGGTTAACTAGCCTATAGCATATATCTCGCTGTCTGCAAAAGACAGTAATGTAGACGTACCATATAACTCCCATAAGTGCATACTATTCGACACAACAGCACAAGCATCATTTTAACCTTTATAAACGAACGTTAACGTTACTCTGTCAACAGTCTATTGTCTAAATTACCGCGCTAACAGAGCTAACGTTGCGTAAACAGAGCACCCGGTTGCAAACTTCCCGATCCCGATCAAACTCCGCTACAAGTTTATAAACTGCATCTGGAACCCAATTAAGGTACAAAAATCTATTTAACAAAAATAGTGATGCAGATAAGAATTTTTTTCGCTCAGCCGAGCCTTCTCTGTCTGTATCTGTGGAGAAGATTGTGCCAGACACCTCCGCCCCGCCCTCCAACTGAGCGTCTCACTCGCTCGCTCTCTCTCTCTCTCTCTCTCTCTCTCTCTCTCTCTCTCTCTCTCTCTCTCTCTCACTCACTCACTCACTCACGCGGGCATGCACTGTGGTCTCATGAGGAAACGCTGCTTTTTGATATAGTGTTTTTCTTGCTCCCGAATACAAATAATTTTTCAAGTATTTGTTCGAAATAAGTATTCGTAAAAACACGCTATTCGTGCCTTTCCGAATACCGTATTCGGGTTCGGCTCCACCCTTAATATATATATATATATATATATATATATATATATATATATATATATATAGTTTGTATATATAGCTTGGATATATAGTTTAGCAGACATTACAAACAATGTCGAGATATTTATGGTGTAAACATGCATGTATACAAATAATGATTTGATAATTGAATAAATAGATTTGTGTGTGATGCCTTACACCAGGGGTGTCCATACTCGGTCCTGGAGAGCCGGTGTCCTGCCAAGTTTAGTTCTAACCCCAATCAGACAAACCTGGGCTAGCTAATCAAGCTCTTACTAGGCTTTGTAGAAACATTCATGCAGGTGTTTAGGCAAGTTGGAGCTAAAATCTGCAGGACACCGGCCTTCCAGGACCAAGTTTGGACATGCCTGGCTTACACAATGAAAAAATATTTTGAAGTTGTAAAGAGTCTGACAGTCTAAAACAGTCAATGCACTGTCAGTCAGTCAAACTCTCAAGTGCTTAGTTTGTTGGTATGTGTGATGAAGAGGGAGTATTAGAAGGACTAACAACTGATATAACAGGGAAAATATGTTGATTATAGTTTATGAAATTAGTTTTGGTTTCTTTTGCTTTAAGTGCTTAGCCCTATGTCGCTCCTGTTGAGTTTTGTGATAGTTTGTGATAGTTTTCTAGTTCTTTCTAGCATCTGTTATATGTGGGTTAGATTTTTTTTTTTTTTTTTTTTTGCCCAACTATTTATATATGGCCAGTATACATTTAATAAATTCCATTCCATATTTTATTTTGTTCACAGCCTAATCAGTTTTGAGTAACGCCAGGGCTGGATATAGGCCATCAGGTGAGCGGAACACACCCAAATGTCTTGGTCATCCAATCTGCAACTTTGTCAGGAACAAGGCACATCTTACTAGTACTAGGTATTCTTACTAGTACTACTAACTTTATTTTATTTATTAAAAACAATCTTAAACATAATTGTAATTAAATTGAAGTTTTAACAAATTTTAGTTAGAGTTTGTAGACCATAAAGCAGGGGTGTTCAAATTCGGTCCTGGAGGGCTGCTGTCCTGCACAGTTTATCTCCAACTTGCTTTAACACACCTGCTTGGAGCTTTCTAGTATAGACCTTTTTCATGGCTGCTGCATGGCGGACGCCATAGCGACCAGTGTCTTCCGGTAGAATGCTAAAAACTTTCGTTTACAGCGTGTACAACTGGTAATTTGCGCTCCGAAAATGGGTTTCAATAACGTTTTTAATGGATAACAGAGTGTTTTGGTGACACACAACTTAGAAATGTGTCTGTTAAAGCCGTTATAATGTCACATGTGGTTCAAGCGCGTCAGAAATATGAGAAAAACGTTCTCCTAGTTCACGTGTCTGCCGTCAGAAATACAGTGTGTGTTCCCGGCCTGTCAGCTGTTAGCTCAGTGGCTCTTTAACACACACACACACACACACACAGAGAGAGCAAACCAGAGTACTGGCATGAAACTTAACAGGTATGAAAGTCGTGCAATTTACAAAAATGAGCAATAAAAGTCTGTTATTGATCCTCTGCTGCTGATTTGCTGTTCATTCTAATCGCGAGCCGTTTGTGTTTTATTTCGTGTGTTATTTTTACCACGGTTTGTGTTTTTCTGTCATTTGGAAATGACACTCGCCTATATTTTCACTTTGTCACAGTTATTAAATCAGTGTGTCAGTGGCACAGTACAGGCTACGTGTGTGTGTCAAACATTTTGGTGAATTACATTTGTTTAGGCTGGTTATTTATTTGAAATAAAGAGAAAATGTTGACTTTAGCGATGATGGGGCTTCATTTAAACTGCAGAAGATGCCGTCTGACAACGAGGGGAAAACGCCTCACAGCAGCGTTTTCCATCCTATTAGATCGCATTTCTTTAAATGATCAGTCCAGGAGATGCTGCTGATGGACAACAGTTTTAGCTCAAAGACGTTAAAAGCAGGTAAAATAGATTAAAACTGTCGTTTCAAAGCTGTCCAAATGTGACTGTTTACACGCATCAGCTGCCGACCGGAAGTTCTTCGCATTCTCAACCACGCAAAGCATAATAGATAATTTTGCGTTCCATGAAAAAGGTCTATACCTAGAAAGAGCTTGATTATCTGGATCAGGTGTGTTTAATTTGGGTTGGAAATAAAATATGCAGGACACCAGCCCTTCAGGAACAAGTTTGAACATCCCTGCCATAAAGCAAGTATAAATTAAATTAACATTATTCTTATTTGGCCATAGTTTATTAGTGTTTTTAAATATAATAATTAATAATAATAATTAATAATAATAATAATATTAAAAACAGAAACACTCACCCATATGTCCAGCATGCAGAGATCATGGAGCAACCATCCCAATGACCATATGTCACTAAAGTCATGCACGAAAAAAAAAAAAATTACATAAATAAATAAAATCTCTAACTGATGGAGTGAAACACATTGTTTTAAAAAGTTTATCTTGTAAAGTTTCAATTAAGTTAGCAAGTCATCATAACTTTACCAAGCATTGTTTAAGTTTTATGGAACGTTCACATCAGATGTGGCTTGCACGAATAGATTGCGATATTCACGCAAAAACAAAGACAGGAACATTTTAAGCTCACTTGCTTCATTTGCATGTCAAATTCAGCTCACAATAGATGCAATTTTGCCTAATAGGAGGGTCATCTGTCTACCCGGTGGCGACTCTAGTTTTATTGCTAATGGCTAACATGGATTGATCAAGAGAGCAGCTTTGCTTTGTGGGCTTTAAAAAGGCTGAAGAACAGCGTAGATTCGTTCGGCGCCATGTCTGAGTCCTTCAGATCCTTTAGAAGTGTACCCAGCTCTGTGAGAACTCCTTCAGAAGCTTTGCCTAGATAACAACCACTTTCAGTGGTGCTTCTGACTGAGCCAGTCTTAGTTTGATGAGCTGTCGTCCTGTGTTGGCAAGACACCAACTGCAGGCAATACATCAAAATCATTGACTTATCATGTAAATCACTCACGCTTGATGCTTCATCCGCATCTGGTGTGAATGTACCATTATGCTGCATTTATCAGCGTTTCATATGATTCACCATTATACCTTTTGGAGTTATATTTCTTCTCATAAACTTCTGGACTAACGTAGAGATCTGCTCCCACAACGGATTGTGCGTATGCCTCAGCTCTGAAAAGAACAGTGATATAAAATCTAAATCAGCACCAACACAAACTGATATAACTGAAAATATATACTGTGTTAGGAATCCACCAAAATCTAATCTCGGCAGTTAAAATGTTCAGCGTACACCAGGAAAATGATGGGTTTCTGAACAGGGGTTTTAATTTAATCACAACATTATGTTATTCATTTAGACAGACTAATCGTTAGTTTTACTAATATTTTACTAATAGTTAAGCTTTTTTAAGCATAGTGAATCATGGTGATCTTTGTCTAAGCCAGTGATGGGCAAACTCAGTCCTGGAGGGCCGCTGTCCTACACAGTTTAGCTCCAACTCTAATCAAACACACCTGCTTATAGTTTTCTAGTGATCTTGAAGACACTGATTAGTTTGTTCAGGTGTGTTTGACTAGTGTTGGAACAAAACTCTACAGGGACACCGGCCCTCGAGGATCAAGTTTGCCCATCCCTGGTCTAAGCGAAAACAATAGGAAAACACAGTCTTCCTAATTTAATACCATACAAATAATACATGTTTGCATGTTGTATGAACACAATATGTAAACATTCACACTTCAGGGTGGAAAAAGTATGTGAACCTTTGGGCTTAATAACTGGTTGAACCTCTTTCGGCACCAATAACTTCAACCAAGCATATCCTGTAGTTGCCGATCAGACCTGCAGGGCTGGATTTTGGAACATTCCCCTTTACAAAACTGTTTAAGTTCAGCAATATTCTTGGGATGCCTGGTGTCACTCTCTTGAGGTCATGCCACAGCATCTCAGTCAGGTTGAAGTCAGGAATCTGACTGGACCACTCCAGAAGATATGTTTTTATCTTTAAGCCATCCTGTTGTCGATTTACTTCTATGCTTTACGCTATTGTCCCATGGCATCACCCAGCCTCTGTTGACATTCAGTTGGCAGGCAGATGGTTTTAAATTTTTTCTGCAGTATGTCTTGACATATATTATTATTATTTTTATTTTTTATTTTTTAAAAGACAGGGCAGCCTAACCAACACATCCAATCTCATCACATTGATTGGACTACAGGTTGGCTGACTCCTGACTCCAATTAGCTCTTGGAGAAATAATTGGACTAGGGCAGGGGTGTCAAACTCAATCCCTGGAGGGTCGAAGCCCTGCACAGTTTAGTTCCAACCCTGCTCCAACACACTTACCTGTACGTTTCAAACAAGCCTGAAGGACTCAATCAGTTTGATCAGGTGTGTTTAATTAGGGTGGGAACTAAACTGTGCAGAGCTGCGGCCCTTTTGGAACGGAGTTTGACACCTGTGGACTAGGGGTTCACCTACTTTTTCCCCCCTGCTCTGTGGATGTTTACATGTTGTGTTCAATAAAAATGAAGACTTATGATATTTATGTGGTGTTAGTTTAAGCATTGTTGTGACTTAGATGAAGATCAGAACACATTTTCTGTCCAGTTTATGCAGAAATCAAAGAAATCCCAAAGGGGTCACATACTTTTTCTTGCAACTGTATATTCAGTTTCAGCTACATTATCTTAGAAATACCAACATATGAGAATGGAGATTACAAAACATCTAAGTTGTGTTTAGTGTGTGAGAAGAATGCTTAAAGAGTAAGCCCAACATTGTTAAGAAGAAGATGATGATAATGATGAAAGAACAGTTTTGACAAAGGAGGTTGTCACTGGCCTATGGCAAAACTGTTCTCACATATTATCAGGAGTTATTAGCTGAAGTACCCACTGTTCAACTGGTGGAGCGTTCATATAGCCGGAGTGCACTCTAGTGAGTCTAGAGGGTACACCCCACACCATGTAGTGGAAAAAAGCCACATGTGTGAGGTTTAAAATATCTTTTCTTCATCTCTTTGTTAAGCTGCTTTGACACCATTTACATTGTAAAAACTCTAGAGTTATAAAGATGAATTTAATAGAGATATTTGTGTTGGAGTTACTTTGCCACAAAGTGCTGGTTTTGGCCAATAATTGTCCTTTTGGTGCATCATTAGATCATGTTTCTGTTTTTACCTGTCCAACACTTTTGAGCATCCAAAATCACCTATGTTGAT